CCCCCCCCCCCACTACATTTTCACCCGTATCACCTCTGTCGGCTCCATGACTTCAACGGTAGCACCACATTGTTCTATTGTATTTTTAAGTGTATTCCATTGTTCCATCGCTTTTTTCGTATCTACAGGGTTCTTCATTTCCATCCAAGGATTAATAGCGTATGAAACCTATAAACGGGTTATAAACTGGATAACAATTAGCCCCAAGTAGATGTCTGTAGTTGTAACTCACCTTAAAGTATGTCGGTCTGCACATTAAAATACGACAAGCACCTTTTTCCAACATATTTGCCAACTATGAAAAAGACGACCACCGTTACGCAACACACACAGTGGAATGATCTCTACTATTATAAATTCACGCTTCAATCAGATAAGTGTTATCTCGAACGGTGCAATGTAAACACATTCTTTTCTAGCAAAAAAAGTTTGCGTTAAGTGAATGATCGTTTTATGAATCGGTAACCATGACTTCCTCATTCATAAAAAAATTTTTTCAAAAACGAAAAAAGAGTTTTCCATACCGTTATAGCTCCGCCCGTCTTCATATAGTCGCGAAAATTCGAATTCACTCTTGATTCCACTAAATTCACTAATTTTGTCTTAATGAGTAAAGAGCTCCTGGGTGAAAATGTAGTTGGGGGGGGCCACCCATCCGAAGGTCGGTATATCAAGAAATGAACTCAGTCTAACGTGTAAGCCCTTGTTATATCAGCACTGTATCGGATGCGTAGAGGATGATGGGAATCGACTAGCTTAGCTCTTTTATGTGGTTTCCGCTAAGGAAATTTAGTTTCCCAAATAAGCCTAGGTAGGGTAGGAGGATCTGGATGGCTAGGATGGTTACCTCCTGCAAAAAAAAAAGAAAAAAAAGAAAGAAAAGTTGCTCACCGCGGTGCTCCTTCTCTACGAGAGCCCTTATTTAAAAACTGGCATGTCCGTGATATAACACGACATAACGCGTTTCAATGAGTTCATTTCTTGATATGCCGACATTGTGATAGGTGGCCCCCCCAACTACATTTTCACCGAGCTCCTGTAGGACATGGCAGTAATGAAGAAATCGGACTTGCTTGAGAGAACTTGTTGTCAAATTCCGAAAGGGAGGGGTGAACTTGCTTCATGATTCTAAACTGTGTGTGTTCATAGGGTACAGAAACTTCGGGACTTATTCAATAGTCGACCTAACCGAGGTTTTTCTGCGGTGTGGCTTCAAATATCAGTGTCCGTCAAATGTTGATAACGAAAATCACGTTCTCCTCCATAAGTTGAACTGGGGTCACAGTCCAAATTTGCATGGATTGTGTGCTCCAGGTACATTGATGATAATACAGAAAATTCTGAAGTAGATTCATTCATATCCACAATTAAATTGGTAATAAGCCATCGCATCGTGGAGTTCCAATTTCTACAATTACTATCCACAGTTGCACTCTGTAGAGCAATCCCACTCACTAAAATGCGCCACCATCAAGGGAATTTTTGACATAAGTTGCTGAGCGTCATCCTACTGTATATAACGTGCTGATGTGTGTGTGTGTGTATGTGTGTGTATGTGTGTGTGAGCGTGTGTGTGTCCGACCGGAAACTCATAACTCCTGCCCCCTAGACCTAAAGCGTTCAAACTTGGTAGGGATACTGGGGGCAGGATGGGAACACACAGGAACGAAAACTCAGTCCGGCACTCGGCTCTTACAGTAATCCGGCACATGTTAACACACTAATTTT